CCACATCAGTCCTCCACTGGCTGTGGGCTACCCTGGGGGTGGGGGTCCATGAGTTCCCAGTCATCTCTGAGGAAGGCGGCTCCTGTGAGCCCAGGACAGTCCTTCAGAGAAGGGTGCAGATGTGACTGCCCACACCTCGGATCCACTGCTTTGGGGAAAATGAAAGTGAACCAGGGTCTCCTGCATTGCAGGTGGATTCTTTACCAACTGAGCTACCAGGGAAGCCCCTCTGCTTTGGGGGAAATAGCAGCAATTTCCTTCCACTGCTGTAGCTTCAGAATGCTCAGAGCCCCCTTCCAGGTAAAAACCTGGGATTTGGAGTCAGACAGACCTGGACTTCATTCCTGGCTTTCCCCTAGTCTAGCTCCACGACCTTGCACAAGTCCCTCCACCTCTGATTCCTTGTCTGTAAAATGGGCAGGGAGGCAGGAGGCCGTCTACCTCTCTGCCTCTGGCAGATTGGAGGGGCAGAGTCTTCCCAGGGTCTAACTGGTGAGGTCAGTTTGACCTGGTGAAAAAATAGACCCAAGGAAGGCATTTTCCCTTAATCGGGGTGGCATCCAGCCACACAGTGGGCTTTGGGCAGAGAGTGGAAGTTTGGCATTGGCACGGTCCAGGCAAGCATGTGGCTGGCAGGATCGGGTGGGCCCAGGTCTCTAGCAGCCCATAAACCAGACAAATGAATATTTGATAGAAACATAATTCCAGAGAATGAGGGCCCTTGTTGGCCTGATGGTGAAATACAGTGGCTGTCTGACCTCCCCGAGGAATAAATCTGCCCAGTGGCGCTTTCCAGCCTGAGACATGGAAGCCCCTCCATGCAGCTTTTCTGGGAAGAGCTTAAACACTTAGCTTGGGGATGTTTACCAACTGGTGGAGCACTGGGATCTCAAGGTCATCTTGGCTGTGGCTCTTCACCTTGCCCCGGGCGCGCCTCTGTGCCATCCTGGTGCCCGGGGGCTGCCCGCCACTGCGGAGCAGGAACGAGCAGAGGCCAGCACTGAGAGGCAGGGAGAGGAAGCGCCCACCTTCGCCTCCTAGGTTTTGTTAAAGGAACCGCGGCTGATGGTGTAACCGTTACCAGGATGGGGAGGCACTGGTTGAGACCTGGATGAGAACCCTGACATGGGGACGACCTAGCTGTGTGACCGCAGCCAGGTTGCTTGCCTTCTTTGGACTTAGCTTCTTCACCCATAAAGTGGGGTTAATAATAGTGCCTACCTCATAGGGCTGGGGATGATTTAACGGGCAAATGTATCCGAAGTGCTTTGCTGGGTGTCTAGGTCGGTCGGTGCTCAGGGAAGGTCAGCTATCATGACAGTATAATAACAATCTGACTCTAGGCCTCCCCCAGGCCGTGTGTCCTTCAGCAAACCTAAGCCCTCTGAGCCTCAGTTTACTCATCTGTAAAATGAGTCCAAACACACCTACCTCATAGATTTAAAGAGTGTAGGGGTAGAATACAAAGCTTCTGGCCTATGTAAAGTGAAAGTTGCTCAGTCATGTCCAACTGTTTGTGGACTATATAGTCCATGGAATTCTCCAGGTAAGAGTACTAGAGTGGGTAGCTATTCCCTTCTCCAGGGGCTCTTCCCGACCCAGGAATTGAACCCAGGTCTCCTGCATTGCAGGCAGATTCTTTACCAGCTGAGCTATGAGGGAAGCCCTATGTAAGTGTTCAATAAATAATAATCGTGGTGCTAGTGACGATGGTGAAGTCAAAGACAGATTTTAGCAATATGGGGTTAAGCCCCTCCTTTTGTGAGATGTGGTTTAGCCTCCCCTTGGCCACCTGATGCCCAGAAACCCTGGACAACAGGAGAGTGTATCAGGAATCTATCCGACCCACCTCTGCCCCTCAGCTAAGATACCAGCTGAGACACAAGCCTGGGCCCCAGATTCTGGTTTGCAGGTGTTGGGATGGCAGAATTACATGGGGTGAGGTGTCCTCCGTCATCCTTGTCACCTGCCTTGGCCAGTGGCTCATGATGCTCTCATTGCCTGGAACAGTCTTCCTCCAGGCTTCCTCTGGCTCACTCCTAACCATCTCTGATATTACTCTCTGCTGCTCATGTCCTCCTCCTGTTTAGCCCCTCAGTAGCCAGGGCATCCTCCAGCATCACCTGTAACACCGTATTTACAAATGATTACCAGGTACCCAGCATGGGGATAAGTGCCTCACGTGCTAACCATCTCCTGCGGTCCATGAGGGCAGGACCATGTATACCTCTGATTCCCTGCTCAGCCGGTAGATGGGTCTCAGGAATTATCTACTGAATGAAGGAATGAATATATCTGGCATCTGGAGTGTTTGGTCAACAGTGGAGACTGATGTCTCCCTGGCTTACCGACTCTTTCAGGCTGGGAAACCGGATGGGAAAAGAAAAGAGACTGGGTTCCTTCGCCTCCTGGGCCTCCCTGGTGGTTCAGTCAGTAAAGAATCTGCCTGCAAGTCAGGAGACCTGGGTTTGATCCCTGGGTTGGGAAGATCCCCTGGAGAAGGGAATGGCAACCCACTCCAGTATTCTTGCCTGGAAAACCCCCATGGGCTGAGGAGCCTGGTGGGATGCAGTCCAGGGGATCGCAGAGAGTCAGGCATGACTGAGCACAGCACATACATCCTTTGCCCTCAGGAGTGCTGAAACCCAAGCTCCCTCTAAAGAATGTACCTGTTTGATTGAACTATCCCCAGCACCACGTGGTTTTCCCTCACCTGAACCTCCTCAGGATACCAGGAAATGGATGGACAGTGGTATTCTAGTTTTATAGCCAAGGCTCAGAGAGGTCAAGGGTATGGCCTAGGGTGCCTCTGCTTATGGTGGCAGAGCTGGGACCAAGGGCTCTTCACTCCTTGCTGAGAGCTCTTTCTCCTCCATTCCACTTTACAAACTCTGGGCTACGTAATCATCAAGTCCCAGAATGTCAGTGTTAGTTGGAAACTTAGGGATTGTGTTACACAGATGGGGAGACTGAGGCCCAGAAACAGGGATGTAACTGCCAGTTCCCCATAGCTGACAAGTGGTGAGCATTGGCTAGAACCCAGGTATATTGACTTGAAGCCAGGTCCTAGAGGGAGTGGGTTCACAGCTAACAATTAGCCTGCTGGTGTGGCCGATCTGGGACTCAGTACAAAAACATTCATTGCCATAGCCTGGAGGTTATTTTCACAGACAACTGTTATGATATGTTCTTGGCCTAAACCCTTTTCCAAAAAATCCCAGCCAGCTGAGCAGACAGGCATCTGTCATTGGCTATAACAAGGAAGCCATGGGACTCGCTCATCAGTCATGCATCCCACTTAGAAACAGCTCAGAACACTCTGGCAGGAAAAAAACAAAAAATGTTGTGGTACTAAGGCAGAGCTCTCAAATGAAGGAGCAGGGAACCCGAGACAGGCTGAACGGATACCATTTCAGCACTAGGGACAGTTCCACGGAGGGCAGCTGCTCATCCAGGGGAGTTTGGAATCTCTAGAACTTTATAACCAGAAGCCTGGTCTCCAGGGGATGGGTGATGGTTTTTAAATGGAGGGTCACTGATTTTCTGAAAAAAGAATCCAAGTGTTCACAGGAGCATTATGACTTGATTTTGCAGAATTTTGTGGCTGTTTGGGATTTCAGAAACTGAAAAGTTTTAAGGTTAAGGAGAAGCATAACATATGAAGAGGTGGAATGACTTTTGGGAATATGCTTGAGTAGCAATCATTCACCCTCCATTCTCCTCCACATTATTGCCAGTAGGGAAATGAGAAGGGGAAGATGGAAGGAGGCAGGATGAGAATCAAAGGGGGAAATAAAAGATCTACAGAAAAGGAGAGAGATGAGGGAGAGGAAGAAAGTAAGATGAGAGTTTGGAACAAAGGGATGGAGGGAGGTTTTATAGGTTCTAGTGGATCATTACATTTCTCATCCGTGCCATTTCCTGACTTTCACACTGACCCTGGGCTACTTGCTAGGATTTCCCCTTAAATGAAATGAGTAGATAACCACTTTTAAAAGTTCTTCAACTTTTCATTATGCTTAAAGCTTCAGAAACTCTGCTTTGATTAGAACCCCTGGGAAGATCCCCTGGAGAAGGAAATGGCAACTCACTCCAGTGTTCTTGCCTGGAGAATTCCATGAACAGAGGAGCCTGGTGGGATATAGTCCATGGGCCACAAAGAGTCAGGCATGACTGAGCAACTAACACAACAGTCTATTACAATGATGTTTTTCCCTGGTGCTGCCAGTAGCAGAGTTTTCATTGGGGGCCCTGAAAGCCTTAGGACACTTGGGAGATTTAGCCTGAATCTGTGATCCTTCGTTTCTGATGATAAGAAGCTGACCCATGGAGGACAGATGTCTGGGGGCCACTGCTGAAGGGGGCAGGATGGGAAGAGTGCTCCCCGTGGGGCAAAGAGACCAAATGTCTCAGTGACCCTGGAGATCAGCACCGAGCTGTGCTGGTGCCCATCACAATGGTCTCAATGCACCAACCTCATGGATTAAATGGTGTTTGAGAGTCTCCATTTAAGAAGGCGGGAAGGCCTGAAACGTCTTCTAGAAACATTTCCATCAAAATAATTAAGATCAAGATGCTTGTAGGCTTTTGTTGTTTGGAGAATTCACATGTATGTAATACTTCACTGCCCACTTATGTTGAACAATAAAATATGCACTTTTAGCCAAAAAGACTCATGTTATTACAGTGAATTATAATGAATTAATCTGAGTTGTAAAATATAATATGCAATGTGGGATGAAAGGGAATTAATAGTCTGAGTTTCTATCACTGCCAGCCACAGTGCCAGTGGTGTTACAGTCTTTAATAGATTGGGTTATTGCTCGGCAAATATTCACCCCCCCTCTCCCTTGGGAGATGAGTGCCTCTGCCTCATCCCATGATGGAGGGTTTGGTCATGTGACTTGATTTGGCCGTTGGATGATGGGTGGAAATGATAGTGATCTAGTTCCAAGTCAAGTCTTAAGAGGCATTGTGTATTTCCACTGGTCCCCTCGCAGTGCAGCGGAGCCACCCGGAGAAGAGCAGTCCACTTAAGATCCGGCCCAGCATGAGCAGAGTACGCACAGAGAAGACTTGACCCAGCCACACCCAGCCTAGTCCACCCAGCCTTAGTTACCCTGCAGACCCGTGAGTGCAAGAATGAACGTTCGCTGTTGTCAGCCACGGAATGTGGGGGTTGTTTATTTTCAGCTTTTGTTCTGCACCAACTGATATAGCATGAATAGTCTTATTTAGTCTTTGCAAAAACTCTTTAAAGTAGGTACCACAATTTTTCCCATTTTATAGGAAACAGAGGCCTAAAGAGAAAGAGGAAAAAAAAAAAAAAGCTTAACCCAAGGCCACAGAATGAGTGAACTAGCGATGGACCCACACTTAGCTTGTCTTCCCTTGAGGAGGCAAGCAGAGTGCTGCCTGGCGCTCCCTGGCTGGCCCCTGCTTGCCTCTCCCACTCACCCATCCTTCTGCTAGCTCAGAGCTCGGGGTGGGGGGCAGGGTGGGCTGCTGGGGAAGCTGCCAGGGGAACATCTGAAGCTCCTTTCAAAGAGCCAGTGGGGTTCCCCCGCCCTGTGGCTACAGGAAAAGGTCACATTTGGCGATTCAGCCCACAGAACAATGACATTTCAAGGATCAAAGAAAAGGTTAAAATATTCCTATAAATCTATTCTCGGGACTTTTAAGTATTTCCAATGTAAAGGGAAAATGTCATTTCTTCTTCCCCCAAGAGCAGTGGTCCTGGGTCTGCTGGTACTGGGTCTGCTCTCACTTCCCTGGTGAGGATGAGCAGGGAGGGAGAGCGGATTCACTTCACATCCCTCCATATACGAAGGGAGGTGCAGTTAACCCCAAACCTCATGTATTTATGGAAACCAAATCCCCTAAAGGCTCCCTGAGGAGCTCGGGGGACAGTGCCACATTCCCGCACTCTCCCGGTCCCTCTGTTCAGGGGGCTCATGGATCACTGCGGCAGAAGTGGCTCTCGGGGTGGGAGTCGGGGAGGCCTGGCAGGGCTGGGGGTGGGGGTCAGATGACCTGGCAGCTCACCTCCCTGAGCTTTGGATGCTTATATCTAGCTGCCTCATGCATCCATGTGGACACATCTCCTTCATTCCCAGCCTAGATCGGCTCACCACCATCCCCTGGATTCCACATCTTAGTGGGTGGTCCCACTCTGTTTCACCCATTCATTCAGCAGACATGTCTAGAGCGCACTCTTAGTATACTGGGCACCAGACTACAACAAGGGACAGACACTCCTGTCCTGGAGCAGTTCGCAGGTTACTTGAGGAGACAACCAAGAAAGCGACAAAGACCTCCCCTGGGGGAAGGGCTAACACCTTGGCGAGTGGGGCCCTGATGAAACCCGGAGAGGGGAGTGACTAACTGCGGGGCAGTCAGGGAAGGCTTCCCAAAGGAGTCGTCACTGAATGGGGCCCTGTCTAAAACGGACATGTCCCAAAGGCAGAGGGAGTGCACACAAAGGCCTGGCATCCAAGAAGCCGAGGGTCGTTGGACACCAGGGACAGGCTGTGTACCACGGAGGAGCCAGTGTCTGCCCAACAGCTCTTGCAGCCACTTTTCATCCGGGGCCGGGGCTGCCGGCGTGGTGGGCTGCTCCCCCACGGTTCCCGAGAAGACGCTGTTATTCATAGCGCTCAAGTCATCGCTCGCCTCCCACACCCCATCAGTCAGCGAGCCCTTTTCTCATCTGCCTCCCGAACACCTCTCCTCTCTCCCTGCCCACAGCCTCCCTCAGGCCCGGCCCCAGCCTCTCCCTGGGATTGTGCATGGTCTCTGAGTACTGACAGCCTCCGTGGGCAGCCTCCCTCCCCACGCCCCTCCAACCACGCTGCTGCAGCCGCATCTGACCTTTGGAAGCATAAGTCTTGGCATTCGACTCTCTTCTGAGGTCTTTTTGATGGCCTCCTGTTGCCCACGGGATAAGGTTATGTTTCTGAGCATTGCATTCACAGCCCTTCGAGGCCAGAATTCCCACCTCTCCAGTCTTGCTGGGGTCCCCTGTGGATCACATGACCATTTCAGATCCTTGAGCCACCAGTGGCAGGAACTCATTAAACCCCTTCCTGCCTTTGCATGCTCTTTCCTCCAACTGGTATTCTCCCTGCACTGATCTATCCCATTGGGCTTTCAAGACCCAACTGAACACATAATGTAATAGTCATGAAAACAATAGGGATCATCATTTTTTGGTCAACCCTTCCAGTCCCTCTATATCTCATCACACTGCTTCATTTTCATGTATATATGTATTTTATTATGGTTTTACTGTCTGTTGTCTGTCTTTCCCATCAGAGTGAAGGCTCCATGAGGTCAGGGCTTGATTTTCCTGTGTCCTCTGTAGCTGGAGCCACAGCTGGTGCTGAGTAGGAGATCAAAAGAGTTTGTGGGATAAATTAAGAAATGACTCTTCATGACAACCCGATGAGGTGCTGAGTGGTTTTATGCCCATGCTACAGATGGGGACACTGAGTCTTTGGCAACAAGGGTTTTGGCAGCTGCCTCTCTGCTCCATTTCCAGACTGTTCCCTAGCCGCTGCTCAAGGGCAGGAGCCCAGTCAAATTCCCATCCGGGTCTCCTGGATCCCTAGGAGGGGCTCTGGAAGTGGTTGGTGGATGGTTCCCATCAAAGGTGGGGGCTCAGCGGTGAGAAAAAGGGTGGCTCGGGCAGCCTGGGGGGAGGTAACTCAGCTAATTGCAGCTTGGCTTCCCAGAACCTGTTTCTAGGTTGGGAATTAAATGCACTAATGGTTCCCACGCATTCCTAATTGGCACCAAATTACACACAGGGGGCTCAGCAGGGGCTGAGGTGGCAGCTGGCGTCAGGGTGGTGGGAAGTCAGCTTTATCAGAGCTGCGTGGGGTTCTTAGTCTTGCAGAACCCTGCACTGGGAGCGCTGTGCTGGAATCCTTAGTCCTTCTTCTGGGGCAGTGGCAGGAGTCCAGGTTTTGGGACAGCCCAGGTGGTTGGTTGTTTATCTTTCTGTGCCTCGGTTGCCTCATCTGTAAAATGGGGACGGTCATCACCCCTACCTCATGGCATTGCTGGGAAGTGAAGACTTCTGCTTTTCTGGGCATCATACCTAGATCCTCGGTCGCAACTCAGGAGAGGGGATAAGGCTGGTTAGGAAAGCCCTTCAGACCTGGAGGGAAGGTGGGTAGAGTCAGCACCTTTCTGGGTTTATCTCTTTTGCCCTTGGGAGGGTCCAAGCTGATGGAGCACATTCTTTGCTGAGACCTTTGAGCCCTGGGGCCTCTTGAGAGGGAGGGTCTGAGTGTAGGGTAGTGTGGATCCCTCTTTCCAGGTAATCCACATGCCCTGTTCTAAGAGGGAGTGAAGTGCAGGGTGGGAGTGCAGCTGCAGTCGGAGTCACAGACCCAAGTGCGTGTCCTCCAACCCATATCTGATCGTGGTCGCCGGATGCTCCGGGTCTCAATTTCTCCGAGCGGGAAATGAAGGGGCTGGACGGGCTGATCTCTGCGGGCTCATCTAACTCTGACTGAAGAGAATTCTTTATTTCCTTCCCTATTAAACTTCTCGTTCCTGCAAGTAGGCCTCTGGGAGGGACAGAGATTGGACAGTGGAATTCTCATCAAGTGTTTGACTGATCGCTTCTTTAGGGGGCGTTTGTTTTGTTTTATTTAAGAAAGGGCTAATAGCGGCACTTCAGGCATGGATGAAGTGAAGAATTTCAGGCATAGGGGGGCAGAGGGTGAGGAGGGAGAGGAGGCGCGGCCGTGCAGGCAGGACACTGACAGTAGATAATGGGATGAACGTGATCTCTGCAGAAGGTGAAGGAAGGTGAAGAATTTCAGGCATAGGGGGGCAGAGGGTGAGGAGGGAGAGGAGGCGCGGCCATGCAGGCAGGACACTGACAGTAGATAATGGGATGAACGTGATCTCTGCAGAAGGTGCTGGAAGGTGCACCAGGCACCACCACCCAGGCTAGAAACTGGGATCAAAGCCCCGGAGAGCGGGGTTGGGTTCTGGGAGCTCTCTGCTAAGTTGGGGGTTGCTTCTTGGTGGCTCTGGCAGTAGAGAATCTGCCTGCAATGCGGGAGACCTGGGTTCGCGCTCTGGGTCCAGAAGATCCCCTGGAGAAGGGAATAGCTACCCACTCCTGTATTCTTGCCTGGAGAATTTCATGGACAGAGGAGCCTGGCAGACTACAGTCCATGGGGTCTGCAAGAGTCAAACACGACTGCCCGACTAACACTTTGACTTTCACCTTAGCTACCGAAAGGGCAGAGCCTGGGGTTTAGAGTTTCTCAGCCATGGGTTCCACTCCCAGCTCTGCCACCGACGGTGTGACTTTGATAAGTTACCTAACCTCTCTGAACCTCAGTGTCTTTCGGGGGTGCAATGGGATAACACCCCCCTCACACACACCTGCACAGAGTTGCCCCAGGGCATCAGCGAAACAACCCGTGTGAAATGTCTGGCACTGGCCCTAGCCACCGTGAGCCCCTCGTAAGCAGCGGTAGGCACGGTCCGCGTCCTTCTACTGAGGAAGGCGCAGCTCTTTCATGGAGGCTGTTTCGCGGCTCTGCTGGGACTGCAGCCACAGTCCTGGGTCTTCAAGGCCCCTCAGGGCCTGCTACCCTGGAGCAGGGAGACTTTACACGTTCCAGTGTGAGGAGGGCTGCCCTGCCTGCTCGACAGGCCGTGACAGCGCTCCATAGTGGGGAAGAACGCAGGCTTTGCAGCCAGCCTGCTGGGTTTGAATCCCAGTCTTGCCACTGACCTGCTGTGTGACCTTAGGTCAAGATCACCTCACCATTCCGATCTCAGATAATTTATGTTTAAAATGGAGATGATGATAATAATTCAAGCCACCCCATAGGATGTGAACACAGATGAATGAATAAAGTATCTCGACCTGGAATAACAGGGCAGCCACTTGGTACCTGTGGATACTGAGCACTTGAAACGTGGCTAATCCAAACTGAGATGTGCTGGGAAGGAAAATTACCACTAGATTTAGAAAGCTTAGCACAAAGAAATAGTAGAATATCTTTCTAATAATTTTTTTACATTGATTACATGTTGAAATGATAGTATTTTGGATATATTGGGTAATATAAAACATTATTAAAATTAATTGCACTGCTTCTTTACACTTTCTTTACAGTGAAAGTGGTTACTAGCAAATTGAAGGTTATATCAGTGACTTCCATTACATTTCTCTTGGCCAGTGCTGACATAGAGGAATGCTAGGCATTTAGTAAGTATGAGGTCCGTGTCTGCTATCATTATGAGTTGTTGGGTTCGAGTATTCCCGTAGGATTGTGTGAAGGTTATTTAACCCTCTAAACCTTAGTTTTCCTGTCTGTAAAATGGAACTAATGGGATTAAACAAAATTATGCCTGTAAAGTGCTTGATTGAGCAACTAGCATATAGGTAGCACTCATTCACTGTTCGTTGTTATGTTGTTGGCCTATGAGATCAAAGGTGAGGAGGACACCCTCACAGATGGGACACGGGCTCATCTGGTACCGCCCAAGCAGTGCAGGAGGGGCTGAGCCAATGGATTGCCCCACGAACGGGACCTGAGTCCCGAGTAAACTCTGCCTTGAGCTGGAGGTTGAGCTGTTTGGCCAGTTATATTAAGGGAAGGGTCAATAACACATTAATGGGATCAGTGGCCCTATTAATCTTCCTCTAATGAACAGCCATTCAAGCCAACCTGTCTTCCCCAGATCCTGGAAGACATTCTGTACTGGCAGGAAACTCGCTGAGTAGAAACAACCTCAAATCTTTTAAAAGTGATTTAGTGGCTTTGCTTGGGAAAAGGTGTGCCGGGGGCCAGGCGCAGGGAAGGAGAATTGAAATGGCCAAGTCACCGCGGATCTCTCCCTAGGGGCTCCTGATCGAAACTCAGAGCCGGCTGACTCTGGGGAGGGGTGGGGGACGGGGTTTTGGTGGAGGTCAGGAGTGAGGGGAAGGTTTAGCTCACCACATCTGGCTGGACATTCTTGCCTCTGAATCAACAAATTGTTGGTGATACAAGAAACTGGATGGCCCAGAGGACCCGGAGAGATGCTGATGGGCTGCGGGGAGAGCTGAGAGGAACATGTGCAGGCCCAAGTCTGCTGGGCTCACCAGTGGTGTCAAACTGTGTGACCGCAGGGGTCTTGTAGGTGGGGTCAAAGCAGAGGGGTCTTGCTGGGAGGTGAAGAGGCGGTGGGGCCTGAGAAGGTGCTGAGCTGGGGTGGGGTGGGGGGGACATGGGAGGAAGAGCCTGGGGGAGGAGGGTCCCAGGTCCCTGGGAAATGTGCAGAGGGCGAGGAGGACCCTACCCAGGTGGTTTGACTTTGGACCCTCTCTTTCTCCTCTGCTCCGGTGTCTCACCCTCAGCCCAAGGATGCTGCCGCCCAACCATCAGTGTTCCATTCCTTGCAGGTGAGTCTTCTGGGCTCCGAGAATCGATTTGAAGACACAGATGCTCCTGGGAGGCTGCTGATTTCCACTTGACCATCAGTCCATCGACCTGTCCATCCACCACCCACTGAAGGGAAACAGAAATGAATACGTCGAGGAACCCACCTGCCCTCAGGAAACCCGGCAGCTAGGAGGGAAGAACAGGTGTCAATCCATGTGACCCTGAGTCGCGGGAGTCAGGGGTCTGGGCTGTAAGAAGTTTCACGTGGAGCACTGTGGGGTTTCGGAGGACAGGCCTCCATCCGTTGGGTGAGATTAGGCCTCAGAAGAGATGATAGAGATCAGCAAGTCAAAGTCTGCCTTTGCCCAGATGAGGAGGTAGAGACCCAGAGGGGATGCTGGGCTCAGTGAGGCCCTGCCAGCCGGGAGGTATTAAGATCTGGAAGTGCAGGGATTGGGAAGTCATTCCAGCGAGGGAACAGTTTCAGTGAAGTCCTGGGAAAGGACACTGGAACATGTAGAAAAGGCAGCGGGCAGTTCATGGAGACCAGAAGGAGCGTGCTTGGAACGACGGAGGGACTCGGCTGCAAGGCGGTCCCCTCAGAGAGTCACCCTGCCACCTCTAGATTTGCAAACCAGCACAGAGTGCCCCCAGGGACCTGAAGCAACTTAGGTTCCCCCGTCCTGAGCTGGGCCTCGCAGGTGGGTGGGCCACCTGGAGGTAGGGGTGGTGGGCACCCAGGTGCAGGTCCCCAAGGCCTTGGCCAAGTCACCAGCGCCTCTGGGTGGGTCGGCAGTGAAAGTCCCAGAGATTTACAGTGAACCCTGGCCGTGCCCCGCCCTCCTCTCAGTAACCCCACAGACCTGGGCAGACTCCCTGGAGGTGGCCCACTCACCTGCGGTGCCCAGCTCAGGACGGAGGGCACCTAACTCTCTCAGGTCCCTGGGGCCTCCCTGTCCTGGCTTGTGACTCTAGAGGTGGCAGGGTGACCATCTGAGGGTTCCCCCTTGCAGCTGAGTCTCTCTACCTTCCTGAGCCTCAGTTTCCTCCTGGTGAAGTAGGACCCCCAGCCCACCTCCCAGGCTTCTCTCGGGCCCCAGGCGGCATCAGATCCAGAGTTCTACCCGTGAAGGGGCAGCTTGGATGCTCGTGTAATCATAACATCTCACACTTACGGAGCACGTGCTGAGTGCTTGGACTTCCCACAGCACCTCATTTAGGCTCTGAGGTCACCATCCTGGGTAGCTGTTTTGCAGGTGGTAAGAGCTGAGGCCCAGAGGGGTGAAGTGGCCTGCCCCAGGCCATGCAGTGGGCCAGGCGCAGGCAGCCTGTGTCTGCACTCTCATCCCAGAGTACACACACTGCCTGCTCCGTCACCAGGCTCGGTGCTGAGCCTGCAGAGCAGATGCCTGCAGAATCCTCCAGAGAGCCCCTCTGGGCAGCCTCGGGGCCAGGATGACACACACTCTCCAGGTGGAAGTGACCCCTCCATTGTGCTACTCGGGAAACAGGCTTAGATGGGCGGGGCACTTGCCCAAGGTCACCGTGAGCTAGTGGCTTAATGAACAGGTCCCAGACTCTGTTTGGAAGAAGACAAAGTCAAGTCTAGCCCTCGCTCCCCACTTTTGAACCCTCTAAGGTCATCTATTCTGTGTCTTGTATGTCTCTCATGAACAGGAGGACTTCCTGGGCAGCCTCTTTTTGGGACAGCTTGGCCTTTTACAAAACTCTTCCTTCTATTGACCCACAATCATCCTTTTGTCTCTCCCACCATGGAGTCGGCATCATCTCCTGAGTCCATACAGATTATCCCAATAAACTGACAGCTGCCTGCAGACAGTAATCACACTCCTCACTCCCCTGTCCTCTGTCAGCCTCTAGCCAGAGCAGCCTTAGGTCCTGCTGTCTCCACTTGACAGGGTTTGCATCCCTTGCCCACCAAGAGCTCCGGGCCTGGCTGGATCAAGTCTTCCTCCTGACCTCTTTCTGCTCCCTTGGCTGGCACATCCTGGAGCTAGAACAACACTGAGCTCACAGCAGAAAAGGATGGAAATGCTCTTTCAGCAAGATGACAGCAGGAAAGATTCCCCTGACTTTTGATGGAGCCAGGCCACATGGATGAAATCTTCTACCCCTCCCTTTCTTCTCTTCAGCTGTCACTCAGGACTTAAGAGTTTCTCCTCCATTCCCCATCTTCCTGCCCCTGGTATGTGGTTGAGCAACTCACAAACTATAGGAGAGCCCCCAAGAAGAGGCCGGGAAGGGGTGGTGGTGATCAGGAGTTCAGTTAGAGAACAGACAGTTTGCATCTTCATCAGCATCGACACCAGTGTGTGTGCACACCTCCTTGTATCTGTGGTTAACAGGTTACTGATAGATCGGCCTACCTTTTCTGATAGGGAAAGCAGCAGGGGTCAGGCCTGGACACCCTCTGCTAGGTTTATTCTGATGGGAACAGGAGGAGACAATCCCCTTGCCTCTTTCAAACCTCATACTTCTGTTGATGCCACTTGAGGACACATGGGCTTTTTGGTAGCTGCCCAATCCCGTTGACTCTGTTCATAGTTAGCGTAGATTAAAAACCCTAGGATGTCCCTCATTCCTGAGCCACATTTTTGCTCACTCCAGCTCTCCCTCCCTCAATCATACCCCGTTGTTACTGTTGTCAGGTCTGCTACCCCAGACAGGATGGGCAGCATAGGCCTGGGGTTCAACGCTTGGGACCGCTCTGGAGTCGAGCTGACAGTCATCCGGCTAGGAGCTCTCAACACCGCATCCCTCTCCCTCTCGCCCATGCCTTCTTTCTCACTGGGCCACCCTGAAGGGCGTCCCACGGCTTCCAGGGCCCAGCCTCCTCTTCTTCCCACCACCGCCATCCGTCTGGGCCCGAGCACAGTCACCATGAAGCAGAGGCAGGAGGTGAGACTGGCAGCGCTGCTATTTTCACTCTGACATTTTCCATTTACGAAAACTCGCACTTGACGCTCATTCTGCTGTTTGCTATCCTTCGCAGGGGAAGGGCCAAGTCCCTCCCACCCTGGGCTGGGTATGTTATGAAATTCCCCATTCTCCCCGATACCAGCCCCTGCTTTATAAACTCTAGGACAGCGGCAATTGTGAAAAACAAATAAATGAAAAACCAGAATTAGGCTTAGGCAGGACCCCGCCTCTGGAAGAATGGCATCTGGACGTGGGAAGGCTATCCTGCAGGGTCCACACAGAGACCAAACTAGACCCAGGGTGCACGGGTCCTCTCGGAATCGTCTCCTCTCCAGGGTCCTCAGCGTGCGTGACTTAAGGTGGAGGCACCTCGTCTCTCCCAGCCCCTACTGGGGAAACAGGCTGCTCTGAGGAGGGAAGCTGGGTCGGGAGACCTCAGCCTCGGAGAGTTTAATTAGGGTGTTGGCGTTTTATTGGAAGGTGAGAGCGATTTCCACTGCTGGAGACATTAGGAGGCTCAACAAATTCTATCCCTGTTTATAGTTTGGAAATACAATATAGATTTTATTGCGGGCCTCGGTGTCTTCCCTTAAACAACTGCACAGCCTGATAAAGCAGAGAAGCTAGTAAAGGCAGAATTGCAGAAGCACCAGCCAGGTCTTTATATCTCGGCACAGGCTCTCAGGGAAGGCGCTCCCCTTTCTGATGGGGGAGAAAGCAGATGGTTGCATAACCTGTTGGACCACACAGGTAATTGGGAGGGTTTTTCCGAGAAATTCTCCTGGATCTGAGACCTCAGGGGGTGTCTGAGAGGGTCCCCTTCCTCTGGAGGGTCTATTTTGATTAAGTTCAGCAGTTGTCTGTTGGCTAATGCAAATCTGTTAAGCCGGACACGGGGGGACATTTCCTGTGTGCCAGGCCTGCAGGAGACATTGAGATGAAGAGGAAAACCATCCCTGTTCCGCTTGGCCCACCATCTGGAGGGGGAGGCGAGCTGTGGAACAATGAATGATAATGTTGGATAAGGCAGAGGGCAAAGAAAGTCACAGGGGTGCTGGTGGTGTAGACAAAAGAGAAATGGATTCTGCCGGGGAGTGTCTGGGAGATGCTGCAGAAGACATGACGTATGAGCAAGGCCTTAAAGCATGAAAAGGCTTTAACTGATGTCCCCCCTGGGGCTGCAAACCTGCATCAGCTTCCATCTTCCTCATCTTAACTCAGTGACTCTGCCACCTGGGGTGTGTAGGCCAGAAACCTGAGAGACATCCCCAAGTCCTATTGATCCTGGCATCCAAATATATGTCAAATCTGTCTGCTACTCTCCACTTCCACTGCCACTGCCCTCTTGCCTGGATACTGCAGTATCTTCTCTAGTAGATATCGGCTGTGTAGGGCCACCCAGCCTCCTCTCGCTGTATTTTCTGTAGCAGATCCTGGTTTTCATCTGGGAGATGTGCCTCTCCACCTTCTAGGAATGTAATTCAAGGAAGCTAAGGTTAGAGCACATGACCAGGGCCAGGCCGAGGCTCCTTCCATGCCTCTGGCCAGCGACTGGTTCAGGGATGGGCACAAGACTGAAGTCACACGAAGAGAGCCAGTGAGACTCAACTCCCGAACTTGATTGTCTTATGAGTGAAGTGGACTCAACGCTTTCCTGGCTGTGCCTGGATGAGAGGAGATGTTGGACTGAAGCTATGCCAGCCATATTGTCCCCACCCAGCATGGTTCTGGGGGGAAATAGAGCCACCTAGGGGAAGATGAGACAAGAGTTGGAGAGAAAGAAACTGGGTCATGGCAATATTGTTCAAACTTGATTAAGCCTTACCTGAATCCCTTCCTTATATCTGGACTTTCAGCTACACTTATTAATGAATTCTGTTTTCACATGATCCACTTTGGGTTGGGTTTTCTCATATGTGCAATCAAAAGAATGATGTAGTATTTCAGAATCTCCCGACACTCTCTCCTGCTTTCTCATCTCCCCGATGTTTTTCACACTGCAGACTGTAAAGCCCTTTAGTCACTGTCCATTGCCCTGAGGATAAAACCCCCAAATCCTTCACATGGCCCTTGAAGCCCAGCAAGATTTGGGCCCAGCCTGTTTCTCAGCCTCACTCATTACTCTCCAGCCAAGCTAAAGTCTTCAGTTATTCAAATATGCCAGCTCTTTTTTTTTTTTTTTAATTTTTTCCAGTTCAGAGCCTTTCACACACTGTAACCTCTGCCTGAAAACCTGTCTCAGCTCTCTACTATGGGATTCGACTCACCTTTCAGATAGCAGCTCAAAGAGGCCTGCTCTAAATGAGATTAGTCTCTATTACACTTTGTCATAGCATTTGCTTTTATTCTTCATATTGCTAACCCGATTTGCAGTTAGGTGTGTGCATCTGCATGTGCGTGCATGTGTGTGTGTGTGTGTAGGTGAATGCACACTCCATTAGCCTAAGCCACACCTGTCTTGCTCATCATGCTATCTCTTACACCTAGAAGAGTCCCTGGTACATTCTAGAAGTTCAACAAATAGTATTTGACTAATTAAGTGAAGAATAGGTGAGGAGTGGGTTGAGGCTGGGTGATTCTGCCTGAAACTATACCAGAAGCAGAATTCAGGACTTGAGCAGGCCGTGTGTAGTGGAGGAAGGGTTAATAAGTCTAGAGCAGCAGCCAGATCTGGAAAAGTGGGCTAGGGCCAGACCATGAGATGTTTGCTCTTCAGTCTGTGAGCCAGTTATTTCCAAAGTCCTGCAAGATACTCTGCAAAGGAAAAGACCAAGTAGATCAGCAGTTAAAGAATCTTGGACAAAGATGGATTCTCTAAGACCCTCTGGGAGAGGCACAGTACATGTGATCATTTCAAGGCTCTGACAAGTCCTGAAGTGGCAGTTGAGTTAACAAAGTGTTGACAAAATCCTTTTTTTCTCACAACAATTACAGTTGTAAAGATGAATATTTCCATATTTCTGAGATAGGGGATTGTCTTACAATTTACATGTACATGTAACACAGGGTTTCAGGTTTCTTTAATGTCCCAGAGAGTGGGTTATTTAATATGGTTTATTAATAGGGCTTCTTACAATCCACAATGTCTTAGACTGGAAGCTACACTGCTGTGACTTGCAGAAGCCTCTTTTGAAGAAGTGAGGGACAAATTGTAACTTATGTTTTGGGGCAGGCCTTCCTGCAGCAGTGTGAACGGGTTGGAGACGCTGAGCAGGGGTTAGAAGCCTGAAATCTGGACCTCCCGCCCCACTAAGGCTGCCCCTGACAGGGATGTGAGTGAGGCACTGACTCTGATGCGCGCAACTGGGAGAATTTAATTAGGACACTGGGGTATTGTTGAAAGGTTGGATCAATTCCTTCCCATGGAGGCCTTCCGTCTTCTCATATGAAAAGACAATTTAGCAGGTACCTATTGTTTTTCATATAGCCCTGTTCAGAGAAGCCTCTTGAGGGTGTCTGGGGACTGATGTTGGGCTTGGAGCCTTGGGGTGGGACTGTGACTCTTCTCTACCTTCAGAACGGACCCAGGGCTTAGGCACTGTGGCTGCTCTCCCCTTGGGTAATTGCAAAGGCCTCCTAATTGATTTCCTTGCTCTGCCCTTGATGCCTGCAATCTATTCTCAACTCCATAGCCCAAGAGATTTTTAAAAAATGTGTAAGTCAGATTACATCATTCCTCTGCTCAAAATCCTGGGATGACCCTCCATTTCACTCTGTGAAGAGCTTAGGTCCTCACCAGGGCACTGCCGGACCCCATCCCCCTGACTCCCATGACTCCAGCAAGCTGCCTCAGGGCCTTTGCACTTACTGTTCCTCAGCCTGGTGCCCACTCCCCAGAGGGCCACGTGGCTAACTCCTGTCCTTTTCAGCCTTCCCTCCAATGCCACTTCTCAGGGGTACTTTCTCTACCACCTACTGAGAATTACACTCCCATCACTCTGTGCCCCCTCTCCCTGCTCAGTTTCTCTTTGTACCACCTTACACCTTCTAACACACTATGGTGGGCAGAATTCCAGATGCCCGCAGACTCTAGCCCCTGGTGTACACACACCTTCTCCCATTCAATAAAACGTGGACCTAGATGATGCTGTGAAAGGGTTTTGCAGGTGGAATTAAGGTCTCAAATCATTAGCTGACTTTAACAAAGGGAGATTATCCTCCAGGGGTCTAACCTGATTAGGTCAACCCTTCAAAGAGACCAG